ATTTCTAAAAATTATTTTGAGCGATTTCGAGATACTTACAAAGCTCGGTTCACAATTTTGAACGGCGGAGAGCTCGATTTCAACAAATCGGAAACTTTGACCGCTTCACCTCCTTACGCGTCGCCGTCTACGGAGACCAAGGATGACACCGGCGAACTCGGAACGATGCAACGAACACGATGGTGCGGGAGGTGTCGTAAACGGATGACCCGATCGTCGTGAATCGATGAAAAACCAACTAAAACCAAGTTATTACCGACGATACTTCCGACTGAAATTCACGACAAACGGCGATCATTCACGACGAAAGGTTTGAGGGGTTTTGTTCCTTGGTTGACAATGAACACGATGGTGATTTCGACTCGTCGTTTGGAGGTTGGACGACGAGTAGATCGGAGTTGGAAGTTGGGTTGTTGGGGAAGGGAAACTGGAAATCTGCAGAAAAACATACGGGAGGGGTTATAAATTTTCTCATAAAGAAAAATGGCTAAATTATGAGTTTAGTCACTGAACTTCCTGCACTTCTTAAAATGATAAGCCAACTTTGTATTCTTATAATTTAATCCTCAATTTTCTTCCAAAATACCAATTAAATCAAATACTTTATAATTTCTTAATTTTAGCCCCTAAATTAGGGTGTTATAGTTTGTTAATTATGCTGACTCTCTAATCACCACTCTCGTCTTACTAATTCTTTGTGTAAATTGTCTATTTGGTACCTCATCTATTTTTCTATTTTTGTTTTGATCGTCCAACTACTATATTTTGATATATATTTTTAATTAACAATTGACATTCAATCTATTAATTGGTTAATCAATTTGGCGACAACTGTGTAAATTCAGTTTGCTCCAATTGCAATTATTAGGATACGGATTCTTGATCATGCTTAAAGAATATAATGTTTATCATACTAAACGAATTGATTGATGGTAGGTTTAATCTCATTGCTTCTGAAGAAGCTTCAAAAAATTTTGGAGACGACCCAATTATTGTTTTGTATATTTTATTTTATAATCGTCTTTAATTTATTAAATAGTTTGATAACATTCTATTAATTCTATTGTATTCATTTTTTTCATAGTTTTTTTCTCACTGTATATCTTTTGGTTTATTTTTTCTGACCAAATTTATATCATACGTTGAATATTGTTCTTATATATACTTGGTATTATTTAAGAGTTTGATTGCAGTTAGTGTTAATAGAATACGTCCAATTGAGAAAAATTATAAATCGATGTCTTACTAGATAATTGTGATTATAAATTAAGTACATAAAAATTTGAAAAACAAATAAGCAAATTGTTTAATTGAGTATCTTTGTAAAAATAAAACCGTTATAAAAGAAATGTCAATATTGAAAAAATAGATTAATTTATGTATTGTTAAAGTATTAATGTGTAAAAAACAAATTTGAATATCATCAATTATTTTATGTATCATAAAATATTTTAAAATAATATTTATCCAATATTTTTTAATTATTAAGAATAAATATATATTTTTATAATGTAACTGTTTAAATTTAAAATTTATAAAGAAAATAAAGTTTTTTTTATCATTAGATTCAATTTCTTTTAAATATTAATGGGAATTTTTTTAAAAAAAAATGGTCTAAAAGTTAAAATAATTTTATATTGTAATTTATAATTAAAGTAGAGTCCACCATGTGGACTTTACACTCGACTCGAGGCTAGTCAACAGTGAAGAGAAGAAAGCAAAGCAAACAGTTGTAGTCTCAGCTTCTTGGATTCTTCCGGGAAAACAGCTTCTTGGAAATTTCATCTCTTTTTCTATTTATTGATGCTCATATATTTGGACTCTTCCTAGTTTCTTCCTGCATATCAAGCCATCTATATTTCTTTGATTTGAACATCAGATTGAGACACCCTTTTCTTCCTCCTCTAATTCGTCATGTTGTCGTTGCCTTCGTCTTCCTCGTCTATTTCCGGCCATAAATATGATATTTTCTTAAGTTTTAGAGGTGAAGATACCCGCAGAACTTTTACAGATCATCTCTATGATGCTCTTCAACGCAGTAGAATCGTCACTTTCAGGGATGAGCCGGAGCTGGAAGCCGGCGAAGAGATTGCCCCAGAACTCTTTAAAGCCATTCAACAATCATGGTGCTCGGTAATCGTTTTCTCCAAAACCTACGCCTTTTCAAGTTGGTGTTTAGAGGAGCTTGCTGAGATTGTTAAACAAAAATTGGAAAAGGGTCATAAAATATTTCCAATTTTCTATGATGTGGATCCGTCTGATTTAAGAAAACAAAAGTATAAAGTTGGAGAAGCATTCTCCAAACACGATGATACATACAAGGAAGATCGACACAAGATCCAAATATGGCGAAATGCTTTCACTGAGGTTTCTAACATCAAGGGATGGCATTTGAATAACAAGTAATTCATTCTTTTCTCTCTTTGATCATTTATTTCATGGATATATCTGTTCATTTCTTAAATGAATAAAAAAACTAAATTTAATTTCTGTTGTAGGCATGAATCTAAATTCATTGGAGCTATTGTTAAAAAAGTATCGGCAAAATTATGTCAAACGTATCCGATTGTTCATGATAAGTTGGTCGGAATTAGTTCCCGTTTGGAAGAGTTGTATTCAAAAATCGATGTTGGAGAAGATGATGTCCATATTATAGGAATGGGTGGCATTGGTAAAACCACTCTTGCAAGAGTTGTTTACGACCAAATGTCATCTCATTTTGAAGGTAAAAGCTTTCTTGCTGATGTTCGAGAAGTTTCAAACAAATTGGGACTTGCTTCTTTACAGAAACAACTTCTTACTCAAACATTGTCCGAAGGAGGATTCAATATATTCGATGTTAATGAAGGAAATGCAATCATCAATCATAGGTTGTCTCACAAAAAGGTTCTTGTTGTTATCGATGATGTTGATAACAGAAAACACTTGGAACACTTGGTTGGAAGGCGTGATTGGTTCGGTTTAGGCAGTAGGATCATTGTAACAACAAGAGATGAACATCTCCTCCGATCCTATCGAGTCGATTATGTGTATAAGCCTACAACATTGAGTCCCAATGATGCACTTCGGCTTTTTAAATTGAAAGCTTTCGATAGTGAGACAGTATTAGAAGGTGTTTTCATTGAGCTTTCTAAGCATGTTGTACGCTACGCTGGTGGTCTTCCCTTAGCTCTTGAAGTGTTGGGTTCTTTTTTGTGTGGTAGAGATGCAACTCAATGGAGAAGTGCAATTGAAAGACTTAAACGAGACTCCAACAAAGAAATTCGTGATAGACTTCGAATCAGTTTTGATGGATTGGAAGAAAGGGAAAAGAATATATTTCTTGATATCTCATGCTTCTTCAATGGGGAGGAGAAAGATTTTGTAACCAAAGTGTTGGATGGTTGTGAGTTTTTCCCAGATATTGGAATCGATGTTCTTGTTAAGAAATCCCTAGTGGCAGTTGATGGAGACAACAGATTGTGGATGCATGACTTGCTACAAGAAATGGGAAGAAAAATTGTTTGGGAAAAATCTATTGACGAACCTGGAAAGCGATGCAGATTGTGGGATGAAAGGGACATCCAACATGTTCTAACAAAAAAAACTGTATGTCATTCAATAAAACCAAGTCTTCCTACGTACAAAAATATACATAATATTTTGAATATTTATTCATTATATTGCAAAACTATGTCATTTAAAATATTTTTAGTTGAATATCAATAAATCACTCTCATTGGCAAATGTTATAATTTGTTTAAAGTGATTTGTTTACTATATTCCGATTAAAGATTATCGTAATGTTAAACATAGGTGTAAATTGTCAAGTTTTATCATGGAGTAAGCCATTCATTCTGTCTTCTTATACTCTGTTCTTGATTACTTGTAGGCCACGGAGGTGATTGAAGCCATGATCATCGACAATCAAAGGTAGGAAAACATGGGTATTGATTTTAACGTTTTTCCATGGATTCGAAGAGTTCTTGAAATATCATATTACAATACTCTAATGCGTCAGATACAAGTATCAAATACGGATGATTGAAAACACAGTAATGGAGCAACATAGCTTTTAGGTATTGGATTTGTTTTTGCATAGTTTGAAGCTCATTTTTTGTTTTTCTCATGGTTATCAGGGAATCGAACAAGACACTCAATTTGAGTGTCGATGCCTTCTCGAAGCTGAAAAGATTGAGATTGCTCAAAGTTCTTTGCCTCTCAAATTGTGATGGTCTCAAATATCTTTCTAATGAGCTTTTAGATTGGAAAGGATGTCCTTCTCAGGCTTTCAACCGGACAACCTGGTTGCACTTCTGTTACAATACAGTCACGTTAAACAACTATGGAAGGGAACCAGAGTAAGAATTAATTCTATTTTTAAGATGAATGATGAAAATTTGATTATGATAGAGACAAAAATAACAAGAATGAGCTTTCTTATGTTTTCTCGTTTCTCTCTAATTTATTATTGTTTTCAACAGCCCTTGTACAAGCTGAAAGTGTTAAACCTCAGAGGCTCCCCGAACCTGATCAAGACTCCGGACTTCACAATGGCCCCAGATCTTGAAGTTCTGATCCTGGAAGGTTGTACAAAAATAGTTGATGTTCATCCATCCATAGCAGAGCTTAAGAGGCTTCAAAATTTGAATTTGAGAGGCTGCAAAAGTCTTAGGAAACTTCCAACCAAAATTGGATTGGACTCTCTTCAAACATTCATTCTTTCGGGTTGTTCAAATCTACTTTGGTTTCCAGAGATTGATTACAAAATGGATTGTCTGAAAACTCTTGATCTTTCCGGATGTTATAGAGTTGGATTTTTGCCAGAGAGTTTGCAGCTAGCAGTGTTTTTGGAAGAGCTCGACTTGAGTGAAACGGCCATAACAAAACCACCGTCCTGCATTTTTCGACTTAAAAATCTTTAAGTTTTGTCTTTCAACGGCCGCAAGGGATCTTCATCTAAGTTTCGAAAAAATCTGCCTTCTCTCTTCAAAAAATTCCAAAGAGGAAAGACAAATTCAATGGCTCCGATATTGCCTTCGTTGTCGGGTTTGAGTTCATTGATAGAGCTGAATCTAAGGGACTGCAATCTTTGTGAAGGAGATATTCCTAATGATATTTCTTGTCTATCCTCTTTGGTAATGCTCAATCTCAGTGGTAACAATTTCATCAGCCTACCTGATTCTCTTACTCGACTTTCCAAGCTTAAAGGTCTTGCATTGATGAATTGCCGAGGGCTGAAATCGTTGCCTGAGCTTCCAACAAGTGTAGAATATGTGAGCATAGATGATTGTGCTTCTCTGGAACTAATTGCTAATCCATCAAAAGTATACAATCGAATGGTTTTCATGTTTAAAGGTATCAACTGCTGCAGATTGGCTGAGAACATCAATGCATTAACATTGCTGAAAAAACATCTCAAGGTTGTTCGATCTCTCTTTTTTGCTTAACAAAATCTCGTACTTAAGAATTTGTGTTTTTAGTTACCAGCGAAAAGGTGTTTTATTTTGCAGGTATTTGCAAATTCAAGAGAAAGGTTTGCTGTTATTATGCCTGGAAGTGAAATCCCGGAATGGTTCAGCCATCAAAGAGTCGACTCTTCAATAAAGATGCCACTGCCTCTCAATATTCGGAATGATAGTCAATGGATGGGAGTTGCTTTCTGCTGCATTTTTGCCGGTGGTGATTCTTCGGGGGATGAGCAAATCTGGTGTGATGTCAGTTGTAGAGGAGCTCGAAATCTTGGTATGTTATACATTCCTTTAGGGAATAGATTTAATCAGCCCATAAAAAATGACCACCTTTTTCTTCGTTACTGGGGGCGTGACTTGTTATATCCATATTCCTTGAAGAACGAATGTGGTGAAAGTGAAACCGAGAATACATCAACACCTGATTGCTCAAATCAGGAATGCGATGAAGTTGAATTGTCATTCGAATATTTTGGCAAAGGTGTTGGGGTGAAGAAATGTGGGGTTGGGATAGTGTATGAGAAAGATTTGGAAGATGTCCAACTTACAACAGAGCAACACATCAATCAAAGTAGCCCACAAATTGAATGAAGACTCCACCGTTGATGGACACAGAGAAAAGTTTGTTGATTATGCCGACTTTCTAATCACCACTCTCGTCTTGGTAATTCTTTGCGTAAGTTTTCTACTATATTTTGATATATATATTTTTTTAAAAAAACTTGATCGTTTACTTAATAAAAATAGTAATGTGAAATAATGTACCAACAATTTTAGTCTTTTAACCCTGACATATTCTGTTAAACTAAACCTAATTTGGAATAAGAGCATACTATTTAGCCCATCATTCACTAAAGTTAGTTATACGACGTGAGTCGGTCCGAATATAATAGATCATTTAGTTGAATATATAATAGTTGAATATAATAGTTCATTTATATATATATATATATATATATATATTAAATTATAGTTAATATAGGATTTAAAGTGAAAACGAGTTTAAAATTTTTATATTTTTAAAATATATTTAATATTTTCTATACTTTATAATAATGGAAAAATATTATATTTAATTTAAAAATATAAAATACTAAACTATTTTTTTAAAACTTATATAAACTTTAATATAATATTTTTTCCAATTCGTCTTACCTATACAACAACTCTATGAGATATTATAAAAAATTATATCAAATCACTAAAATAATATTACATGTATTTTAAATCTATATCTTTTCTAAATACAATATACATCTAACTTAACGCATAAACAGATTTTTTTTAGATATTAATATAAAAAGGGTTAATTACATCATTCCTCACTTAACTATACTTTCTCTCCTGTTTTACTCGATGTACTTTCAACTTTTTAATTTACTCATTGAACTTTCAAATTACTCCAGTTTTGATTACTTTGAATTATTTTATTATTATTTCTATATGACATGACATTTTTTATTATTATTTAATTTAAAATAATTGAAAATATAAACTAAAAACATAGGGTGGTCGAAAGCCACCGTCGACCACCGTTAACCGCCATATATGGTGGTTGTTTTGTCTCAAATTTCATGGCTCTTGTTCATCTCGACACCGTGATTCCGAATCCGCCCTCCATTTTGTCGGGACTTGCTCTGGAGTCCACGAATTAGAGATCGAAAGTGAAGAAGCTGAAATGTTTCAGTCGAGATTCATGAGTTTTTGGGCATTTTCTGGTGAAACAACCACCAAATTTGAGACCAAACGACTACGATCTACAGCGGTCGAAACAAACAAGACCCATAAAATTTGAGACCAAACGACTACGATCTACAGCGGTCGATGGTAGCTGGTTGTGGCGTCCGATCACATTATGTTTTTATTTTATATTTTCAATTATTTTAAATTAAATAATAGTAAAAATGCCACAGCATATAGAAATAATAATAAAATAATTCAGAGCGATCAAAATATGAGCAATTTGAAAGTTCAGTGTGTAAATTAGAAAAATTAAAAGTTCGGTGAGTAAAATAGGAGACATATTATAGTTAGTGAGGAACACTTTATTTTACCCATACTAAAAACACATTTAAGAGATAAAATGAAATGAATAAACTATGTGTTTAATACTTAAACTATTAATTTTGGTCTGTTTTAGTACCTAAACTTTCTGTTTTTTCAAATCATACATAACATTTAGTTTTTGTTCTATTTTAGTACCCGTTGTTAAAAACTTAATGGACGAGCTCATCGGTCGTCGTAGCTACAGTTGCCAATCATCGTATCTGTTGGCCGATGAAACCCAAACTTTCTACCCCGTACCTTTTCGACCCCTTAAATATGATTTCGACCTCCTTTTCACCGAGAAATGCCTCAATATCCCTAAATCGACTGTGGACTCTTCGATTTCTTCATATTCTAATATTAATAGTCTACCGACCGATAAGCTTGAAATTGGAATATGTTGGTTAACTCGTCATTCTCTCGTGGTCCACCATCCAATAGGCCTAAAAGTGGACTATGTTGGTCGACTCGTCATTTTCTCGTGGTCCATCGTTTAAATTGGTCATCCATCCACTGGAGTTATTCCTCATCAGTCTATATGTTAAGTTATGCCACAATTCTCTTGGATTTGAATCAACCAAGTTAACTTCAGAGACCACAACACATAGGTCAAGTTCAGATACTTCCTTGGAAATTTCTTTCACAACATTACCCACTTTTGTTCTGGACCTTTTTGAAAGCCTACATTTGGATGACATGTGTCCCGTCTTATTGCAATTAAAGCATTTCCCTTGAAATTTTTGCTTCTTAGAAACACTGCCTTTTGGTCCTAGTTTAGACTCAATTTGAGCTTGCTTTCTTTTCTTGATGTAGTTACGGCATAAGAAATCAGAGTGATTCCATGCTTCGGTAATGTTGAATGCGGTTGCAGCATCCACTTCATCCTCTCTAATAGTAGGAGGATCATCCTTTAAAAATTTAGCCAGATTCAATATCGTCAAATAAAACAACATTTTCTGTTGCCATGTTTTGAAATTCTCTCCATTGAATTTTGCAGGTTTTTCATTATGACTCATGGTCATAGGTAACGTTTGGCTCGCAGCCTGAGTCTGTGTAGCGACAATCGCATTAGACTCTGAATTGGATGAAGTATCAAACATTTTTCTGTAATCAGAATAAAAACTGAAATAATAAATATAATATGAAATGAAATATATATTAACCTAAATATATTACCACGATAATCTGTTTGAGTTGAGATTGAACTACAACACAAGGAATTTGTCTTAAGATTGTTGCAAATTATTGAAAAATAGCGTTGTAGTATTACAATCTAAAAATTTTGTTTCAATAATAAAGTTAAAAAAATGTGAAATTAAAATAGAACCTGTAATCGGATGAAACTAAATAAATAAAAGAAGAGTTTTGTTGGGGCCTGAATGAACAGTTTCCTTAAGACAAATTCGTCATCTCCTCGGTGCTTTGAGTAACGTTAGACGTCGGTCTCCCAGGATACAACAACAAACATTCACAACAATAAGCACAACCGTTGTAAACAATTGAGCATAATCTTTGTCTTTATCTATCACTGAAAAATGACTTTGGAAGAATCAGAGAATTGAAAGGAAAGTATTTGAAAGAAAATAGTAAAATTTATGTGTTGAGATGTGTCACAACTTAGCCTTTATATAGGGAGAGGAATTTGTATTGAAAGGTTAAGACCTTTAAATGAAATGACTTAACCATTTGATTAAAAATTATAACCTTTTGATCAAAAGGTTAACATGGAAATACATGACTTTTAGGATGAAATGAAATAACTATTTTTCATGAAAATACTTAATTATTTTTCATGAATAGTCATGATTGAATAAATCAATTCATTCATATTTTCCAACAGTTTTGTTTCTTTATGATTCAATGTTAAAACTAGTGATTTTTTGTCATTCGATTATTTTCTCTATTTAGTTTTGGTTTAATTTCATTTTTAAAATAACAACCGAAATTCAATCTATTAATTGATTAATTCATATAGCGACGATTGTCCCAATCCAATATGTTGTAATTGTAATTGTTAGGATTCAAATTCTTGATCTTACTTAAAGAATCTAATGCTTATCCTACCAAACGAACTGGTTGATGGTAGATTTAATTTCTTTGCTTCTGAAGAAGTTTCAAAATTTTTTAGAAACGATCTGATTATTGATTTTATATATTTTCTTTAATAATCGTGTTTAATTTATTAAATAGTTTGATAACATTCTATTAATTCTAATATATTCATCTATTCATAGTATTTTTCTCGCCATATATCTTTTGGTTTATTTTTCTCACCATATTTATATAATACGTTAAAGAGAAAATCGTCTCAGTGACCAAAAATGCCTTATAATATACGATTTTAATCAACTTTTTTTGGATTTGCCAAAATGACCAACAAAATCACGATGCGAAATAAAAATCGCAACGCGATTCCCAGAATCGCAAATCAGTTTCAAGAATCGCAACGCGTATTTGGAAAATCGCAATGCGAATTTGTACTATCGCATTGCGATTTTACAGAATCGCAACGCGAATATGAAAATCGCAACGCGAACATATAAATCGCAACGCGATTCTGACTATCGCAACGAGTACCCGTAAAAATCGCAACGCGTATCCGTAAATCGCAACGACAATACGTAAAATCGCAACGCGTATCCGTAAATCGCAACGAGAATACGTAAATCGCAACGAGAATCCGTAAAATCGCAACGCGTATCCGTAAATCGCAACGACAATACGTAAAATCGCAACGCGTATCTGTAAATCGCAACGCGATTTTTAAAGCGCCATTAGAATCGCTACGCGTATTTTATTTTCAAATTCCAAACACGAATATTAATTATCGGAACACTGAACCGTCCACAGTATATCCCGTAATCGCAACTCATAACCTAAATCCTAAAATCACAACTCAATCCCATCTCCATCTCTCACTCTCTACGGCGAAATCCCCCATCTCCGAAGATTTTCGTCCCCATCTCCGGGGAAATCCCTCACAACCATTCACGGTCAGAAATCCCTCACAATCATTCAGAAATGGAAAATCAACCTCCGAGGGTTAGTTTTTTTAATTATTTTTATTTTGAAATTTTTGCATTATTTTAGGTTTTTCATATTGAAACTGATGATAAGTTTACTGGTAATTTCAATAATAGATTAACCATTTCACTTAGATTTCTTATTAAATTCATTTGATTGCTGCCAATACTGCTAAACTGTTTAGTCTTTAACCCTGTGAAGTTAGTATTTGTCTTTGTTTTGTCTTTTGGTTGAAGTAATGCAATCCATTCAAGTTTCAATTTGCAGAAGAATCGTAACGAGAGAAATGAAAATCGCAACGAGAGAATCTCAACGCGAAAATGACTATCGCAACGAGAGAAATGAAAATCGCAACGAGAGAATCGCATTGCGATTTTCATTTCGCGTTGCGATTTTCATTTCGCGTTGCGATTCTCTCGTTGCGATTTTCATTTCGTGTTGCGATTCTCTCGTTGCGATTTTCATTTCCACGTTGCGATAGTCATTCTCTCGTTGCGATTTTCATTTCAACCAAAAGACAAAACAGTGTTGCAAATTTTAGTTTCAAGAATAAACTACTACTATTTATGTTTATTGTT